AATTTTAAGTTATTTATGTAAAATTATATGGAATAAATTTCCTAATTAGTTTATGCTTTTTAAAACTAAAATAATAACAAATTACTTTTTTATATATCTTTGAACAAAATAATAGAAAGCAGTGAAAAAACACTTATTTGTAATTTGATAAAATAATAATAGTTATATAAATAAATTCCATATAAATCAAAAAGAACTTACAATAATTTTCATTAAGATATAATAAATTAGTTCAAAGAGAAAATAATATAATATATATATATAACAGTATATTTTTTTGTAATAACATAGATATACACTTTTTTTTAAATCCCGTATTTTTGAAATTATAATCCATAAGTTATGCATTTTTGATTGATATATTTGAATTCATACAACTTTTTACATCTTTCTTTTCATTTAAAAAAAGTAAATAAAAACACAAAAAAAATTATTACTTATAAAATTGTCACAATATACATAATGCTATAACAAAAGTTTTTTTTTTTTTTTTTTTTGCTGCCATATTAAACTTCCATATGCATATTAAAAAATAGCAAAAGGTTTAATTTTATATCTTTAGTTTTTTTTTTTTTTTTTTTTTTTTAATCTTAAATATTAAAGACAACAATATTTAAAAATAAATACACTTAAAAATAATAAAATAAAACAACTATTTATTTACGAGTGTAAAATGGTAATCATGAAATATATATTTTCATTAATTTTTTAAAAAATAATACATTAAAATTAATTAAATTTGAAATAAATTACTTGTAATTATTAGAAGAATAAAACTTTATATCGAAAAATTTATTATTTAATATATATATAAATGCACAAAAACAAGTTGTAAAATTTAATTATTTACTATAAAAATAAATAAAAGTTATCACAATATTTTATTTTTTCCATTTAAATTATTGTAATTTAAAAAAATTGGCAATAAATTAATAGATGAAAAATGTATATATATATTATCTTGTTTATATCTTCACATATATATTGTTTACAGTATTGTTAAAAAAATACATGATGATAAAGAAAAAAATTTGAAATTTCATATTGAAACCAGTTTTATTATATTTATTTCAAATTTGAAAAAAGGAATTTTATGAATTGTTAAATTTATTATTCTAAAAAATATATTAAGAGTTCATATATATGAAAAAAATAAAAATAATAAAGAAAATTAAAACAAATAATATTCTTTCATAAATAGTTAAAAATATTATCACATTAATATAAGAAGATAAGTAGCAAACATTATAACACTTAACAAAATAAAATTATATTTGAATTTTTTATATTTTCATTACTTCATTTTTAAAAGTAATTTAATCATCAATTAAAGAAAAATAGTGCTTCATAATTATTATATTTAAAAATAAAATTCCATAAAAATTATATAAGTTATTAAAGGACATTTTCTTTGTTCATATGTTCCTTTGTAACGTGTTTTATTAATAATAAAACAAACACTTTTTTTATAATACTTTTTATTCTATAAAGGAATTTATCTTTTGAATTTGTTCTAAATAACAAGCAGTGTATTCACTTAGACCTTTATATATGTAAATTACTCATGCTTTATTTTATTTTTTATGTATTTAATTAGTTAAGTAGATACATATAATTTACAAAAGTATATATATATATATATATATATGAATTAGTTTTTGTTGTTTTTAGAATTTTTTACAGATATTGTCTAAAAATTGAAAACATAAAAAAAAAATAGAATATAACTTTAAATAGAAAAATATGTGTTTAATAATTATCTATTACATAATTCTATAATAATAGTTTTTTGATAAAAAAATGCACAAATTTTTCTTTATATAATACATTACTTATGTAGCATAGAAGCTTTTTTGAAAAATTTTAAATAATTTCAAAATTATTATAAAATAACATTATATTTTCAACTTAAATGTGAAGAACTTACAAATTTTATAAGAAATAATTATGATATGTAAATTCAACATAAAATATTACCAAATAGTTATTTAAAGATTAAGTTATTATTTTTATCATAGTTAGACTTAAACTTTTTATATTAATGGTGTATTGTTTCAATTATTAAAATATTTACTTAGAAAACATTAATTTGGGATATATTTTATTTATACAAAACTTTTTTTTTTTTTATTATTATAATGCAATAAAATGTAAAATTTTCACTTTTAATACTTTCAAATAAAAAAAAAAAAAAAAATTAATATTATTAATATAAAGTAGACATGAATTTCTCTTATAAGAAAAATAAATAAAATTCAAATTTATTTTTCAAATTTTATTTTTTTTTATAAAGACATTTTATTTACTTCAATATATTTTAATGATTACAAAATATTAATATTTTTATAATTCTTTTACATTAAAAAATATCTTTCATTATATAGAATTTTTTCTTTTTTTTTTTTTTTTATAATAAAAATTGTACATTTGAGAACATTATAAATTTAATATTATGCCTAATATGTTATATGAAACTTGGACATACAAAATTTTTACAACAATACAAAATTTTATTAAAATAGCATTTATAAAATCTCAATTTTTTTTTTTTAATTAGGTTTCTGTATATTCTCAAAAATTATTCAAATTCACGCAATTATTTTTTATATTAAATATTTTTAAAGAATATATTTTTAAAAAAATAATTTACAAGTCCTATATTTTCCTTTTATGAAGACAAAATTAATGATTTATAGAAAAATAAATATTTATGTTACACTTTTTTTTTTAAATCTTATAGAAATATAATAAAAAAAATAATAAAAGCATTAAAAAGTATAAAGAAGTATGGTGTTATATTTTAACATATGAATTTTATTTTTCATATTTGTAATCTATATTAGTAAAACATAATATTTAATTATAAAAATTATTGAAAGTATCAATTAAAAATAATTATTTTACTTTTACACTTTTAAAATACTATTATTAATTTAAAAATTCTTTAAATGAGTTTTTCACGTAAAAATAAAATATAGTATTATATTTTTTTTTTTTAAATTATTTTATTGTTTTTAAAGGAATTTTTAATAAATTTCACATTTTATATAAATTGAAGAGAATAAAAATTAAAACTTTTTAATAAGTGTGAAATATTATATTACACATATATTATTTATTGTATGTTAATATATTTTTTTATTTGTATGCACTAATTAATTAAAAAAAAAAAAAAAAAAAAAAAAATGTTTCTATTTAGTTTTTTCAATAATTTTTTTTTTTTGTAAATATTATGCAAAATAATAAAAACATATAAAATATTTTTAAAAAAAAAATTAACTAACCTTTATTTAAAACCATCAGCATTAAGGTTCCGTAGCTCAGTTGGTTAGAGCGTGCGGCTGTTAACCGCAAGGTCGTTGGTTCGATCCCAGCCGGTACCGATCTCTAAATTTTTTTTCGAAATTTTTTTTATAATATCATTTTTCATTATTAATATTTAAAATGTTAAAATAATTTATTAAGATGATAAAATATAAAAATTTCAAGAAATTATATATATACATATATATAGTTATAAAAATTAAAGATAATCTATATTTACTAATAACTATTTATAAGTAGGAATTCTTATAATAAAAGTTCATTTTTTTTTTTCTTTTACTTATAAAACCAAAAAAGAAAAAATAGAATTAGAAATTAATATATAATAATTTATGATTATTATATAAAATATTTAAATGTATACATTTTTTGTAAAATATTTTCAATAAATATAAAAAAATATTCTAAGATGTTAATACACATATAAATAAATTGTTTCTTGAAATGTTAGATTTAATTATCTTTTTTATTTTTATCCAAATGCTTGTTCTGCAAATAATAAAATACAAAAAAATTATATTCTTGTGATTTTATTTAATTTTTTAAACCAAATAACTTAATAACCTTTTTTTAAATAAATTATTATTTGATTTTAATAGATCAAAATTTTAATATAAATTATTAGAATGATTTGTATTAAATATTCTTATTATTCTGTTTATAAATATATTCATAAAATAAAACTTTGAAGTGGAGTTTACTAAGTTTTTTATTCTAATTTTTCATATAAGTAAATTAGAATGGAAAAAATAAATAAATTTCTTTTAATATTAATAGATTGTTCATATATAATAATTAATGAAATAAACTGTAAAAGGATGAAATTTGGATTTTTTCAAGGGTGATATATAATACAATTATTAATGAAATGTGCTATAACAGAAGATAAAAAAAAAATTTTATTTTTAAAATAAGATATAGTTTTATTATAGATATAATATTTTTTTAAAAATTTATAATATTAAAATTAGAAATATTCAAGTATTTAAAACCTAAGAATAAAGAAAAATTTCTTGTAAAATATATTTTCACAAAAATATAAGAACATTTATTAGAATTAGCAACATTTTCTTAAGCTTCTATTAATATCTTCTATTTAAAAAAAAAAAAATTTACAACTGCAAAAATAAAAAAAAAAAGAATATGCCTTAATACAAAGAGGATTTAATTCGATCATGTATTTATAAAAAATATATTATAACAATACAACAATAAAATTTAAACATGAAATATTATTTTATTAAAACTTTTTAAAATACTTTTTTTTTAAAATTTTTTATTAATAAAATGAATGTTCATAACCATTATTTACATGAAATGTAATAAACATAATTATTAGTTTCCAGACAAATTGAGAGAGTATAGAAAAATTTAAAAATATAATATTTTTGAATTTTTTTTTTTTTAAAAATAAAATAGAAAAAAAATTAATATTTATTAAAAATTCTTTTATAAATAAAAGATAAAAATAGCTAAATTAAATATAAATGCATTTATAATAAAAAAAAAAAAAAAAAAAAAAAAAAAAATGAATATTTTAAATTTTATGTGTATAAACAAATAAAAAATTAAAAGTTTATATTAAAGCCATTATATTAAAAAAAAAAAAAATAAAAATTAATAAATAAAAAAAAAGAAAAAAAAAAATGTATGTATAATTTTTAAACAAATTAATTTTATTCATAGTTTTTGTGTGTTATTATGATAGCAGAATTATCATATTTAGCATTAATGTACTTTATATTAAAATTTTTTGGATAATTTTTATCAGAAAAAATACATAGTGGATAATTTATTATACCTTTATTTTTAAATGGTGATATTTGGTAATTATTATTGTATCCCCAACCATAAAGTTTATTATTTAAATTTAATAAACAGTGCCTATTCCCACAAGAAAAATCTTTTATCTCGTTATTAGGCAATTTTACAGTAGATAAAGTTTGCTGATGTTTTCCCAAATGTCTTCCACATTGAAAATAAATATTATCTCCAAAACAGAATAATTGCTTTCCGAATTTATCATTTGAATAAATCATAGAAAAATTTGCACCTGCATTAATTTTATATACATCATTAATAATTTCAGTGTCATTAATTTTTTTTAGAATCATCTGTGGAATACTTTGTATGTGTCTATCATAAAAAGAATAATTAGCTAAATTTTTTGTTAATGACGAATAACCAAATTTTATTTGATCCTTCCATTTCGTTCCTGTTAAGGAATTTTTATTTGTTCTACTTTCTCCTAATCCTAACTGTATTTTGCTATCATCACCAAAGCTATATATATTATTTTTGTTATCTAAACATAGAGTATGATTTATACCACAAGAGACATCAATAATCTTTGTTTTTTCTTTAAATTGTACTTTATTAATATATACGTAATTATTTAAATCATTTAAATTTTCTTCATTGTTGTTTATAGTAAAATTACTAAAATTCCTTTTTTCCTTATCACTTTCATTAATAACCATAAAATTAACTTCATTATTTTTATCAGAGATATTCTTTTCTTTGTGTTCTTCTAAATTATTATATGTTCTAACTAATTCTAAATTAGTTTTATTTGAATTACTATTTGTGTTGTTATTTTTTTCTTCTACCTTATTATGATAATCTACACTGTATTTCTCATTATTTATTTCGGAACGATTATTTTCCTTCTTGACAGAATAATCATTTTCTATAATGTTTCTATGAGTATTATCTAGTGTGTTTAATGAATTGGAGAAATTATTTAAAAAATCAAAATTATAATTTAAATTTAAATTATTTTTCAAAGATGGCTCCTTTGCACATTGCCCATAAAAATTATTACCTGAACAAAAAATATTTCCTTTGTTTGTAACAAAAGCTAAATGAAACTTATTTACACTTAATTTTATTATTCTTTCACTTCGAAAAAAAAAACTATCTTTACATTTATAGAAATTTTCTATTATAAATTTTCCAGTTCTTAAACAATTTTCATAGTTTCGTATAATTTTTAATTCACCTTTTTTACTCATTAAATATATATCATTATTTGAAAACTGAATATCAGAAATAATCTCCTTTATGTTTAATTTTACAGGATTAATATAAATTATATCATTATTTTCTTTATTTTCATAGGATCCCCATATATATATATCATCATTTTCAGTTATACAACTACCTATACAATTACCAAATGTTATTTTCTTTACTTTTATTTGATTTTTTTCAAAAAACGTTGCCTCCCCATTCTCTTTAATATCTTTAATTAAAGAACGTTTATCTCCAAACAAAAATACCTTTTCAATTTGCTTATCTTCACAAAAAAATATTTTATTTTTTCTTTTAATTAAGTAATAGCTATTTAAACCAATTACAAAAAATCTAAGAAAACGCGTATACATTATTATGTTGTGTATAAAGTTTACGCATTTTTTTGCATATATAATTTTCTGTGCATACTTTTTCTTTTTATCTCTATTTATTAAGTAGTTTATATATAATAAAAAATCAAAAAAAAAAAAGAGTAATTTTTTATTTAAAAGTAAGATAACTTAATAAATATTTATTAATATATATTTCAACAAATTTTTTTTTTTTTTTTTTTTTTTTTTTTTTTTGTAGTAAAAAAATTAAAAATATTAATTTTTCATTTACTTTATTTTCCATAAAATAATATAAATTTTATTTTAAAAATTTTTTAAAATATATTTTTGTAAAATTTTTCTTAAAATATAAATTTATATATATAATTATAATTTGTATTTGTTTGCTATTATTTCATTTATAGAAAAAAAAAAAAAAAAAATATTTTTTGTAAAAGAAAAAATAAAAACAAATATATTATTAATAGTACTTTCAATTTATATAGTTATTTGAGTATCAACCACACAATTTATATTTTTATAAAGTTAAATAAAAATAAATTAGTATTGTAATTTGAAAATTTATTTTATTTTTAAATAATAATTATCATTTTTAAAAATAAAATAGAATGTTGTAAAATAAAAAAAAACATGACATAAATATTTTATTTTAATGAAATGAATAATTCTAAAATCATAATGGATAATAAAGAATCATAGAAAAATTAATTAAAAATAAAAATAATTTTTGATAAGTTTTTATTTTAATTTTTTTATTTTTTTTTGTATATTTATAATAAGTTATTCTTATTTTTTGAGTTAAAAATGGAGAATATATATAATGATATGGAAGAATATGGAAAAATATGCCAATTATATGAAGAAAAACAACAAAAGAAAGAAAAAAAAAAAAAAAATATAGGAAATTCTAAATTAGATGATATATTAGATGAAGATATATTGTGGATGTATGAAACAAATGAAGAAAAGGAAGTAAAAGAACAAGAGGAATTTTTACTTGGTAAAAAAATTAACATGCAAAAATTATTAGAAGATGAAGAAGAAGAAAAAAAAAAAAATGAAAATGTGAATAATAAAAATAACATTGATCATTTAAACAAACTTAGAGAAGATCCGTTAACTATTATAAAAAAAATTGAGATAAAGAAAAAAAAGATGATTGATGAACAAAAGAGACTATTAGAATTACAAAAGAACAAAGAATTTAATCAAATAAATAATTTACTTAAAAGAAATGAAACATCACATAAAAGTTTTAAGAAAGACGAAGAAATGTTAAAAAGAAAAGATAGGAATGATAAAGAGAATCATAAAAAACATAAAAGAATAGAAAAAAAAGAAAGAGAAGAAAAAAAGGAAAGAAAAAAAGAAAATGAAAAAGAGAGAGAAAGAAAAAGAGAAAATGAAAAAGAGAGAAAAAGAAAAAGAGAAAGTGAAAAAGAGAGAGAAAGAAAAAGAGAAGAAAAAAAAAAAGAAAGGAAAAGTGAAAGCAATAGCGAAATAGAAAAAGAAAGAACAAGAAAAAGAGAAAGACAAAGAGAAAAAGAAAGAGAAAGAGAAAAAGAAAAAAAAAGAGAAAAAGAAAAAGAAAGAGAAAGAGAAAAAGAAAAAAAAAGAGAAAAAGAAAAAGAAAGAGAAAGAGAAAGACAAAAAGAAAAAGAAAGAGAAAGACAAAAAGAAAAAGAAAGAGAAAGACAAAGAGAAAAAGAAAGAGAAAAAGAAAAAGAAAAAAAAAGAAAAAGAGAAAGAGAAAGAGAAAAAATAAGAGAAAAAGTAAAAGAGAGGGAAAAAGAAAGATACAAAAAAAGAGAAAAAGAAAAAAAAAGAGACAGAGAAATAGAAAGTGAAAGAGATAAAGGAGAAGAAAGAGAAGAAAAAGGAAAAAGAGAAATGGAAAAAGAAAAAGAAAAAAGAAAAAAAAAAAAAAGAGAAAATTATAGAGATAAAGAAATAGAGAGAGAAAGAAAAAGACGAAAAGAAAAAGAATAAAAAAATGTAGAGGAAGATCAAAATGAATATATATAGAATAAAAAAAAAGAAAAAGAAAAGAAATAGTACATATATATATATATATATATATATATATATATATATATATATATATATATGTCATAAACAAAAACAAATATATAAAAAATAGTATTAATTTTAAAGAAAAACATATAGATTAAAAAAAGGAATTAAGAACAAAAAAA